TCTCCAGATATACTTTGTTGGTGATGATGACAATGAGTGGGACATCAGTTGTGGAATCTACCCAGGCATTAATCCACAACTGGTTAAGCAACTCAGAAGTTGTTGCATGAACACAAGTATATTCTGGAACTTAAGGTTGCTGTTGATTCTGTTCCTAAGGGCCACAAGGACTTCCAAATGGTGATTAACGCCAATAGGAAGCCTTCTGGAGAGCACCAAGGTCGTTTCAGTGCCCCCATGACTACAGGAGTGGCTGTTCTCATTGTCAGCCAGGATTTTGAGAAGAGAGATATCATTCTCCACAGCAGAGACAATAGGTTGTTACAAATCAGTGAGACACACCATGTCTATGACGCTCTCCAGCACCCTCTGATGTTCTGCCGTGAAGAAGATGGTATTGCATCAATATACCTCAGTGCGAACCAAACACCAAAGTTCCTCTCAAGAAGACCGTGTCTGTTGCTGCCTTTGACATCTACAGGATAATGGAGCTCGATGGCAAAGAATGCTACCTACTGCTGTTCCAGTTCCATAGCAAAGTATGGGTATCCAACCGACTAGTATACCATGTATGCGTACTTATTTGAACTGTGTTGATCTCCTATCTAATTAAATCAAACTGCACACAACAGCTTTGACAACAATTCAAATCAACTCATATAAAAAAATCAGAATAATTGTGTTATAATATTAGAATGGAACTATCTACTAAAACATTATACTGTTCTGACTCTTCTGGAATTGAGATTTAAATTATTTTGAAGTGCTCAGAAGCAAAGTATTCAAGCAGAAACAAACAGATGATTTTGGAGGGTTATAAAATATGCAATATGAAACTATCTCTCTCATCTTTGTGTACACATATAAGCACAAACACCCTATCATAAATGTCTTTAAATGAACAGATCGGTAACATAATTGTAATGCATATACATGCAACTGGTATAAAATAAAGAGCGCACAACTCACAAAAAGGCAAAAGTTTGCAGATGCACCTAAGTCAGATACCCAATGGAGCTGGAAGGACAGAGCAATCCAGCCAATGGTAGCTGCAATTAAGAATTACAATTGAGTGAGCCACAACCGGATATGCAAATTAAATACAAAAGAATTCAAAGTGTACTGTTGAAGGTTTGCATATGACTCACAGAACACAATAAAAGAAGTCTTGAAAACAACTGTTTGCCTCATGCAAGCTACAGAATTACAGATTCTATCTATCTGAATCTCTAAAAATACAAACACAACATTTTTGAATCTCTACCAGAACATGATCATATTTGGATACAATTAAAAAAAAATTACAATGAGAAGACCACATGCAATAAAACATTACCAAGAACACTGCATTCATTTTTTCCTAGTTTTAAATATTTTTAGTAGGCAGGCTTAGATATCATCCCATATCAGGCTAATGAGCAATATGGGAATTGAGAAAAAAACAAAAGAAATTGAATGCATGGGAATAGATCACTGAAGAATAAGCTTCTGAGTTTCTTATTCAGAAACTTATACTAAGTTTCTGAGTTTCTTATTCAGAAACTCAGTATTAGTATAAGTTTCTGAATAAGCAAGAAGTGATAAGGCCAAACATGAACAGGTAATGAATGTGAGCTAAACAAAAATGTGAATTCACCAGTACACACGCACACATATACCATATATACCTGTGCGTGCATGTGTATTTACACACACAGAGATGACTTGTTATACAGGTAGTCCTTGATTTACGACTACAATCGAGCCCAAAATTTCTGTTAAGTGAGGCATTTAAATGATTTTTGCCCCACCTCATTTTACAACCTTTCTTGCCTCAGTTGTTAAGTGAATCCCTCACTGCATTTGATAAAGTCAATAACCCCATTGTTAAGGTGAATCTAGCTTCCCCCATTGACTTTGTCAGGTCACAAAAGGTGATCACATGATCTTGGGAGAAAGCAACGGACATAAATATGAACCAGTTACCAAACATCTTAATTTTGATCATGAGGCTGCTGCAAAGGTCGTAACTGTGGAAAATTATCTTACGTCACTTTTCTCAGTGCTGTTGTAACTTTGAACAGTCACTAAATGAACTTTTTCATTAAGTTGAGGACTATCTGTATAGCGACATACTGCAAATTGTAATTGCAAAACAATTACATGCAGGAAGACTAAGCAGGTTGAGAGGAAGAAGACTGAAAAACTATGGTTGAGTAGGAAAAAAGGAAATGTATGAGGGGGGTTGTCTGTGT